AACTTGAATGTGTTCAATCAAATAATTTTAGCATGAATAAGTAAAAAAAATTTGCTCCCATTATAAAGTAATTTAAATGTATCAAAATATTACGCATACGCCATGTTGCAGAGGCAGGCGCACACTTTGAGCAGTGGTCAGTTGCAAATCAAAATCAATGTCATAACAGCTTCCTTGGCTTTGAGTTATTGATTTGATTTTCCTCCTACGACTTCTCCATTGCCATTTGCCATTTGCAGTCGAATGTTGAGCACTTGCTAACCAAATTACGCATACGCCACGTTGCACGTCATTCATCCATCCATTCAACGCTCACCGCAGATTACGTTTGTTTGTTATTTTATTGACAAAACATCACGGCCCGTGTGGCAAATGCCGATGACATATATTACGCATACGCCGCGTGGAACGAGGAAACAAATAAACCGAAATGTCAGCGGGGGAAGTGGAAATGTCCAAATCGAAAGAAACTAACAAGTCAAAACAAGTCCACCACCCCACCGCCCACTGGAGCTTTTCAAGGTCGCCGGGGGTGAACAAGAAGAAGAGAGAGAGAGCCTGACAGTTGGGGCAGATGTCAAGTGAACGAGACTGTTGGCGGCTAACTTTTGCATTTCGCCCAAAACAATTTCAACAATTTTCGGTATTCCATTTAAATCAAGAGGGTGGCGCTGCTGCTTTTTGGGGCGCACAAAACTTGTTGTCGCATCAACAACAACAACAACACAAGCAACAACAATAATAATAACAACAACAACAACAACGAAAAAAGCAACAACAACAAATGCGTTTGTACCGCACATTGTTACGGTTGCGGACATTTTAATTAGACTTTAGTGGCTTTTGTGGTCGCCATTGTTGTCTTGCTGCCAACTATGCACTAAATAAATTTAAATGCCAAACACACTCAGACCCACACGCACACACTGAACCATCCTCGAGTCACACAGATACCCCGGCACTCACACACGCGCACACACACACTCACAAATAAACTAGATGGGGGAAAAAGCATTCAAAGGATCCTGGCTTCGCGCTTAACTACAATAAATTTACTCGGAATATAGTAAACAGATTTTATTAAACTTTTCTTTGTGCAGAGGTAATGGAAAGATAATATTGTTGAGTCTCGGATGAAAAATGCAAAGCTTTTTATATAAATACCTGGCTTTTCTCAGAGTAATAAAAAGTATAAAAAGTTGAAATCCCATGTTCTTGTCAGAGCAAAAAAAAGTTGTGCAATAATAGTGATATTAACAACTACTAAATTGCATTTCCACCACAAAGCCTTAATCAGTTGATCAGCAGTGAATAACTGCAACTAAATTACATTGTTGCTTAACCAAAACCCGCTTTTCGCATCATATATTTATAACAAAAACGATGTGCCACAAAGCACAAAACGATAAAAGCACCTAGATTTGTTAAAGCCATTTTGGTTGGGCTTATTCAACCATTTCTAATCTGAGGGCACCAGCAAATTTCCACACGGCACGTTATCTAACACAGCGTTCGTTTATTTTGTTTGGCTATTGAAAAGCAGTTTTTCCCTGCTTATTTATTTATTTTTTGTTTACTTCCCCCTTTTTCTAATAATCCCATTTTTGTGGTTTGTTAAAACTAAACCAGGGCTGCTTTGAGCCCCGAAAAGTAGGCAATGTTTTATTTTTTATGCAGGGGGTGTGCGGCTTTAAGGAAAATGGAAAATGCTTACCGACGAGGGCCAACAAATTGCGCAGTTGAATGGACAAATAGATCGTTGGATAATTATGCAAAAAGTTGTGGACGAAAAGCCAAAGGTGCAAACGAGAGCTGGGGCTAAAAATCAACAGGCCATAATGGGTTAATTAAGGCAGGGCGATGGTAAAACAAGAGAGAGGGGATAGAAAAGGGGGGCGAGGGGGTGAAAGCGAGCTGCACTGCACTGCATGAAACCGAATCATCTGTCCGTTTGCTCGCCTGTCTATTAATTAGCCCAAAGTGGATAGAGGGAAATGGCCAGCGGGGCTGGGAAAAGCGGAAAGCGGAAAACGGAAAAACCGGCAAAGCAGAACCTAGCATGGCGAAATGTGGGTCTGCTGAAATATGCAACATGCTCATTACAAGAATAATAATTAAACTCCGGAGTGCCACAAAATTCAAATATGCACTGGCGCAGGGCGAAAAGAAGTGGGGAGGGGTTGTCAAAGGCGGGGGAAGGGGGACGAAGGGGTTGTGGGTTTTAGGGGTCAGTTTGTTTACGCGATTTTGTATGACATTCGTACACGTACAAGTACTCTATGTGCGTGAGTGTTTGTCATGGATTTGCGTTGTTTGCCTCGGAAGCTATGAAGAAAAACAAGCGTTCCACAAACCAGAGTCACTGTAGAACGTGCCCCATTCATAACCCCCCACACCGCCTCCTCCTGTTATCTCCCTTTCCCTCCCCCCTCTCCACTCCTCTACTCCACCCCCTTGGCGGCCCCCTTTGGGTCTGCGTGCAAATTAATGCGACATTTATTCATTATGCCATGAAACAGTCATAGCGAGGATGAGAGAAACAGGGGCGCCCGACTTCGTTGGGCAGAGGGGTGCAAGGATAACAGGAGGGGAGTGGGGAAGTGGGGGAGAGGGTGAGAGGGGGTGGCCTAGCTGGGGCTGGAAGGACAAATGAAGCAGCCAACCACCCGACGGCCGGGCAACAAAGGCGATGACACACCGCAGTACGTTGGGATGGAATTGAATTAAAGTATTCTTATTTTAACTGAATAAGTTAAGCAAAAGGATAATTCAAAATTATATTTAATAGAAATTTAAATAACAAAGTTATTTATGCCATGGGATTCTCTTAGATTTTTAAATATTTTATAGGTTGCAAAAAGTGTGTTATAATCTCCTGGTAAAAGATGGTATATGTTTTAAATCGACAAGTGTGTTCTATGACAAATACAAAATATTTATGTGACTCACACTTACTCGAATTTAAGTTTTTAAATCTCTAACACTATTTTAGACTCCAACTACAGAAACTCACTCAATTTAAAATTCATTGAGCATTTCCGCCCACTGTGCAATGACGATAACCTCAATGCGGCGCCCACTTGAGCGCCTCTGCCCACCAACTCCGCAGTCAGTAGTCCCCAACCGAAGTCCCCGTCCGTGGTTCCCATTTCCCCCAATCTTCACGCCCCGCTCTGTCTCCGCTGCTGTCTCCCTCTTTCTCTCTCCCTATCTCCCTTTCTCCCTCTCTCTCTCTCTCTCCCTCTTACACCATCCACAACGTGTCGCCGCAGAGCGTCGAGGGACATAAAAAGCATTTGCGTGATTTTATTTCACATTTTTTGCTGTTCACTCACTTGGGCTCAACTTTGCTTTTACCGCCGGCGCTTCTTCCACTTTTTCTTTATTCTTTATTTATTTATTTAGTGCAGAATCTGTACAGCAAATTAAAGTACTTAACAACACAGGTGTCACCAATGAGAAAAGTAAACCAAACCTCAGCATTAAGAAGAGGATTATATATAGTATTTTCTTATTGATTCCTTATCGTCTTGGCAAAGCCTTGCCTTTTGAGACGCCTCAAAGGTCTCGCTGGGAGTAGATTCCTAGCCAGTAAGCTGCGGTGTCTTTCTAATCTATCTCGGTATCGGCTTGTGTGTCTCCCAATCTGTTCTTCCACAGTGTGTAGATTTAGGTCTCTGTGAAGTGTCGTGCCACGCACATACCAGGGACAGTCAGTAATGGTACGTAGAAACCGATTCTGCAACACTTGTAACCTTTTGTAGTTCGATTTGGCTGCGGCTTCTTCCACTGTTTTTTGTTTTCTACAGCCGGAGAGTAGGCTCGTCTCCGGAGATTGGCTGTTTGTGTATGTGTGTGTGTGTGTGTTTGCCGAGCTTGTGTTAATTTAATCACAGTAAAAAGAATTTAATTAGTTGCCCAGCAGAGCGACAAGAACAAAGGGCCACAATGGCAATAATAAAAGGCGTGTTGAATATAATTTCCATAATTCGAGAGGCCTAGCGCAAATGGCAACATCTGGCCTGGTCAAATTATTAACTTGGCTCAAATCCACCGCCAGGTGTGGACAATTACAAAAACAAAATGACAGGAAGGCAAAAGTAGGCAGAGCAAAAAAAAATAGAGAGAAGAACATGCAGTTCATAAACACTGGAAAAATATTGTTTTTTCCACTCGAAGTAACTTTTACAACTTACAACATTTAACTTTAATATCCTGAAAGATAATTTCTTTGTCAATCTGCTTAACAAGTTGAAGAAAAGAGATGTTAGGCAATGAAACAGCTAGGCAATAAATCATATTTTAACAAGTCACTTAAATCGGAATGTAATGATTTCTTCTAATATTTCTGTCGGTGTCTCCTTCCCCCGAAAATTCGAAGAAAATTTCACTGGCAATTTGCGCTGTCTTTTATCGCTCGTTTGGCTTCACACACACACACACACACACATGTAAACAACATAATGCCATTTTTATTTTAATCCTGAATGTGTGTACCTCCTCATGTCCTTTCTTGAGTTTCCCCAAATGGCAATTCAGTCAATGACAGAGCATAAAAGGTCCACCGCACGAAAAAAAAAGTAGGAAAAAGGAAAGAATTCTTGTCTATTCAACTATGAGTAAAAACCTATTTTGCCCAGGTCATGCATGCGGATACACAGTGATATATCTACATATATCTGCATATATATCCGCTGGCAGAGCGACCCAAAGTGGAAGTCAATTCAAGCAGCTTACTTTTATTTAAGTAAAAGGCAAAAGAACACACAACCAGTGGTGTGTGTGTGTGTGTATATATATATACATATATATCTATTTCTTTTTTCTATCTTTTTTTTTTGTGTTAGCAATGTACTTGAGAAGCTGTGGCTGCTGACCTTTTCTATGTTATTTTATTGTGGGGATTGTGGCGTCTTTTCTGGCCATCCACCTGAACGACGCCACCGGGCATCGTTCCATCTCCCTCTGACTTATATCCCTTTCTCGCTTGCTCCTTGCAGATTTCAATTTACAAGAAGAGGCCTCCATTCCGGAGGACATATTTGACCAGCACGACGGCGACATTGGGGATGAGGACGCCGCCGAGTCGGGCCGCAGTATGCAGTATGCCCCATCTGCTCAAGTTGCAGTTGCAGCTGCCACCGCCGAAGAGGAGGACGCCGACGAGGATGAGGTGGGTCTGTTGAAGGAGGAAAAGCAGAAGGATGAGGAGAAGGATGAGGAGGAGCTGGAGGACGACGCATCCGAGGCAGCAGATATCGTGAGTACACACATGACACTGCACTTGCAAAAAGTCACACTGCCCCTATAATTTATTTTAATATATTTGTACAGTTTAAACAAAAACAAAAACCCTTTTCGATTTCTGATTAAATTTGGTCAAAAAATCATTTAAAAACCCGTCAAATACACCAATAAATACATTTGAATGCCTCAATAAGTGATTTCAATTAAGTACAGGTGTTTTTTTTTTAACCAACGAGGGTTTTCTATTTTTTAGTTTTTTCTCTACCTTTCGACCTCGTTTGTGTAAAAAATAAATATGGAAAAAGTAGTCACCGATTTCTCACCCGCTTTTATGACATTTTTTTAGTGTGCACAGACAAACAGAAGCACACACAAATGCTTTATAGAGTGCCCAAGCCTACAGTCAAGTCAAGTCCACTCCGAATGAGGTCAGTTCTATTGAACCGAGTGGGTTGATATGGCGGATGGATGGTTGCTTGGTTGCTTGGTTGGATGGTGGGTTAGTGGATGGATGGGGTGTCCTTCCTCAAGGGGTGTCCATTGAAATGTCGCACAATGCGAGCGGCCAAGTCAAATTACTTTTCCAGCTGAAGAAGGTGGTGGTGGCTTGGCTCAGCAACTAAGCCCCAAATACTCGATCCCTGCATTGAAATTCACTTGAGCAAAAAATGAGAGCCAGTCACTTGAAAGCATTTTTGAAAACCGAAAACTTAAGCTTGGGAAATAATTGCCACAAAAGGGGAAGGTGGTTGCAGCAGCAGAACAAAAGAAAATACCATTCGTGCTGAACGTCAAGTAAGGAATTAACATGAATAGATTAACAATAGAAGAGCCCTAAACATATCTATGTATGTAATGAAGACAAGAGAACCTGGAATCGAAAACATCGTTTAGCACTTTAAAATGCACTCGCTATCTGCACGACTATTGCATTGACAATTTCTTGGAATTGCGATTCCCCGAAAATCCCCTCCGCACACTCCACTTCTTTAATCAACGATTTGCAGACACTTGAGTTGAACGCTGAACGTTGAATGCAGCCGAGGGCCTCGGCATGAAACTTTCATTTTATTGTCTAGTTGCACATGTGCTTTCACACCTCACTTTCACACACCTTTCCTCATGAAAAAGACCCCCTAGAATCCTTAAGAGAGGTCCTGAGGTAAAGATTTTCTTGAGTTTGTTTTACTTTCTTTTATATGTATTTTATTTTTGGGAGAGGGGCCTTAACAACCTTTTCTTTATTGTTGTGCACTGAAACTTATATTCGAAATAATATGATATGTTATAATGATTAAGAATTTATAATTTCTAACTATTTTCGCTTAACTATTTCTGGCTTAACCCAATCATCTTTCCTCTGCACTGCAACTACTTTTGCAGATACTTGAATCTCAAAGGCCCACTTCGAGGAATTTCAGTGTTTACCTGGACGCCAAGAAATACCAAAATAGCAAGAAGCGTGGCAAGGATAAGAAGAGCAATATAAGCCACTACAACTACAAATTGAAAAACAATAAGGAGAAACAGCAGACGGCGGATGGTGGCAAATCGGAGATGAGTGTGGGCGGGATGGCAACCAAATTCACTTCCGTCGAGGAGGAGGACAACGCGAACTTTGCAAGGCAAAGTTTTGCGTATAAAAAATTGAAGAACATGCACGAACAGCAAAGTCAACAGGACGAGCAGCCAAAGGAGCAAAGGCAGAAACAACAACAACAACAGCAGCAGCAACAACTAAGGGGAGATCTTGGTGGGGATTTACTAGAGGAGTATCCCTCGTCGCAGCTGTTCGATGCCATTGAAATATTAAATGAACGAAAATTTAATAAACCCACGGTCCAATCAGCGGAGAAGTCCTTTCAGCCAACGAAGAAGAAGTTGAAGAAGACTAAGGACTCGGAGAAGTTGGCCAGACAGGTGGACGATGCGGCCATTGGCGATATCGAGGACAATTTGGATAATGATGAAGTATTAGAGGAGGAAGAAGAGGACCTCGACGTCGACATCGAAGACGAGGACATTAAGTTGCCCATTGACAATGATGAATTGGCCAAAAAATACCCAGTGGTCGCATCAACAACCACCAAGCGCCCAACCACTTTGGCTACACCATCAACAACCAGCACTGGCACCACTAGAAGCAGCAGCACCACCACAACCAGCACCAAAACAACAACAACAACCACATCGACAACAACACCAAGAACGGCAAGAACACCGCCACCGACAATTGGCCGCAAACTGAAGAGGAATTTCTTCGGTCTCCCTCAACCGGAAACCAGATACTATGGCAGCTATGATATTGGGAGGATTCGGGCGCAGGAGGAGGACAACACCGAGGAGGACGACGTGGGCGAGCTGCACTACTACGACACTAGTGGTAATTCCAGAAAGCTGGTCAGCTTCGATCCGGAAAAGTCCGAGGAGAATTACTTGAGCAGCTACTTTGCTGGCAAATTGCAACCGAATGCAACCGAACGGAAACAGGAGCAGTTACAGCAGTTGCAACCGAAATTGCAACAGCCGGAGCAACATGTTGTTGCACCGCAGCAATATGCAACACGTTACGTGGACGATGACTACGCCGAACAGCAGCCGCCGCCGGAAAAGTCCATGATGGAAAATCCCTGGGAGAAATCCGCGGATGGGAAGCCAGAGGAGCAAGTGGAGGAGCAGGAGGAGGAGCAACCCGAGGATGGCAAATTGGAATCTGATTTGGAATCTGCATTGCAGCGATATCACGAGGGTAAGTCGTTTGCACATAAAACTGTGAAATAAGCAACTAAAAACAGAAATAAAGAAAACATTGGGAAAAACCAACTGGTGGATGCTGCAGTAAAAAGGCACAGTGGGATGCAAATGAAGTTTATGTGATTAAAATAAAGTTATGGATTATAACTTATGATAAAAGAAGTAATCAAGTCATACTTTTCTGTTCGTTAATTTCATTTTATAAATTGAGAAGAAAGCGTTGAAAACTGAACCACGTTCCTTCTATTCTTAAATTTTTTATATATTGGTTAGTTTTTTTTTAATTTCTTTAATCATATTGTAGTTTTATACCACCCACTGTGCGGCATTCCATTGGCCTTTTGATGCCAAACTCTGCCGAAATGGCCCGCTCAAAGGGAATTTGGGTGCCCACCTAAACCGTCCGGTTTTGCCCCACTGTGCCGCATTCCGCTCCCAGTTCGATTTCGCTTGGCAGTTTTCGGCTCTCGGACCGTAGTTAGAGATCCCATCAAAGTCAGCTATGTGGACGTGAGTGCGGTTGTGTGTCCGCCGTAAATTGAAAATATGTAAAAGGAAATCCCCAAAGCATTCTGCATTCTGCGACAGAGAAACGAGAAGTCAAACTGTGGCCAGTTTGCCAGTAAAATCGCTTTAAGCACACATGTGCCAAACTGCTCGGAGACTTTTTGCTTTAAGGGGTTATATACCTTTTTGAGCGAAAAAAATGAGGGAACTTTGGATTTTTTTTCAGGTGTGTAGCAATTGTTTTATGATACTGAGGTTATTATTTATTGATAGTACATGTTTTTATAGACACAACAAACGTTTGTTCTTAAAAAAATATAAATAACTTTCGAAGTTATGGCAATTTTCTCATAACCCTTTTTTTGTTATAGCGGCTTGCGGTGACCACGATGGAAGTCCAGCGGGTCAACCAAAATCAATAAACCAAAATTTTTTTATTAGTTTAGTATTATATCTAGTTCGTCATTGAATTACTTTAAGAATATTTGGTTTTTTCTGCATACAGTAACAATTTTTTCAAAAAATTGATTTTTCGAGCTCTAAAAATTTTATTAAAAATTTTTTATCTGCAAAATCGAAATTGGCGCTTAAAAACTGATTCAATGACGAACTCGGCACAATCATTACGAATATTTAAAAAAAAAATTGAAGAAGATCGATCAAATAGTTCTTGTGCAATCGCGGTCACAGCAAAGGCACTTTTGGAAAAAAACGACTTTGAGATAATCGCATTCAAAGTTTTACGTTGCGTTACAAAGATTGACGAACCGCGCCTCAAAACGCTGTTTTCCTATCGAACTATTATTCGGATCTCTTCAAAAATTTGGGAAAGTGTTCTCTAGGGGATATACTTTAGGATTCAGCTAAAAAAAAATTTTTCGTTTTTTTGAAAAAAAAAAGGTATATAACCCCTTAAGAGCTTCAAAATAGGCAACAAACATTTCATATTGCCCTAATTAGTTTAGTCGACAAAATGTATGCAAATTTTCTTTCAAATTTTTTTTCGAAAGCAAGAAATCAAACGGAAAAAAGTTTAGCTTTCCCCTGGGGGGAAAAATGCTCTCTCACACCTCCCCGCTGAAATTTGCCGGCATTAAACAATAAAGCTTACAAAATAGCAAGTATCGTGTGTACACACCAGCCGGCGGAAGCAACAAAATCTGTCCAGAGGATTGGCCAAGAAATGAAGTTCTGCGGGGTTCAGCGATGGCGGACGTGCCTCGACTAGAAGAAAGAGCCAAATGCCCGGGTTGTTGTAAGAGTTCCACCATAATGCCATAAATTCGTTGCTCATTTCTCGGGAGTTCTTGCGCTTCCCTCGCTGGCACAAATCAACTTGAAATGAATTTCTGTGCGGTTCTTCGAGAGGCGAGGACGCAGAGCGGCGGTTTTGGGGATTTTGTGTGGTTTGTAAGGATTTCAGGACCCACACTGAGCTGGGTCAAGCGAAAAAGAAGGGCAAGATTAGCAACGAAAGACTTGCACACCCTGGAATAATATTCTTATACTTTAAGCTGATGAGTAGGTTTCGAATAAACGTAGTAGGATTTCCTTGAAATCGAAATAAAATTTGCTAAAGTTGTGGTTGCAGGAAATAATAGCTTGCAGAAAACTTAATAATATATGCACCACATTTAAGTTACAATTTGTAGCTATTCAATACTACCCTTAATAGACCTTCTGCGGGGCATTAGACAAGAGAAGCTCTTGTTGTCCGTTGGCCTAATAGAAATCTATTACTTCCGAGCCTTAAAAAGCGTGCCGAGACTAACAAAAATGTTCATCTGCCTTCTTCTTTTCTTTTCTTTTTTTTTGTGATTCACAGCCACCATGGGCACACCCACTGTGACCACGAGCGTCGTCCCTTCCTCGGCGTTCGAGCGTTTTAAGGCGCTGCGAAGGAGTCGCCAGCGGACGGGACACAAGAGCCACAAGAAGCGGTACAAGGACTACCTGAAGCGGCAGAAGGAGCTGGTGGTGACACCTCCGCCAGCGGAAATCCCGCAACCAGCAACCGTTTCAACGCGCCACCTGCAGAAGTTGCAAAAGGAGCGGGAGCGATCCACGCACTCGGCACCGATCTTCGCCTTGGGACTGAGACCGCAGCGACCTTTAGTGGCAACCGGGAAGCCATTCTACGAGGGTCAGGTCAACTACTACGACAATCAGCCGCCGCTGGATGTGGATCTCAAGCACCACACCGAAATGGAGCGCTTGATTGCCCACGACAATGGCAATTGGTATCGCCGCATCAGTCCAGTGTTGCGAAACGGCGTCAAGAGTGATCCGCCAGCGAAGGACCACCATCATCATCACCACCATCACAACGGAGGACACCTGGGCAATCACCACCACCACCACCATCACAATCACAACGCGGGGCACAACCACCACCATCACAGCCACCAGAAGTCGAATCATTTGCGGTCACGTCCCAGTAATCCGTATCAAAGGAAGGCTTCGGTGGCAGCACAGGCTGCACCACCACCACCACCGCCGCCCACTCCACCGCTGCCGCCGCCGAAACCACAGCTGGGTCATCAGATAACCGAACTGGAGCACCTCGAGCGATACTACGCCAAGTGGCCGCATCTAGCCAGGGTGCAATTCCAGGTTTACGATGAGCACTATCGCGAATCGCATCCCGATATTTACAGCGACTACGAGGATGACTACGAGAGTGCCGCCGAATTGGAGGAGGCACAACAGGAGCGCGGCGAGGAGGCCAATCTGCCGCCTTACATCAAGAAGTACAACAGGCGGAATAAGCAGTTGCTGAATCTGTTGGAGGGAACCCTGCCACCACCCACTAATAATCCCGGCAACTCATTGGGCAGCACCACCGAAACCGTGCGATTGGATGACGAGTATCTGAAGGAGAAGCGGCGTCGCTACCACCAGCATCAGCGATTCGAGGACTTGTTTGCCCAGCAAAAGAGTCGTTTCACCACCACAATGGCTCCACCAAAAGAGGAAGTGACATCGAAGGCGAAAGCGGAGCTACCTAAGGATAATCCAGTGACAACTACAGCGCCGCCAAGCAATCAGTTGCCCGAGGAGGATGCACCAGTTGTTTCCGGCGAGGAAGCAGATCCGGCACCCGAAACCCTGGACTTCTGGCAACGGGAAATGGCCAGCAAGGCCGGCAAGGCGGGAAATCAGGCTGGAAATTCGGCCACAACCACCTCACCGAAGCCGGCACTCTATAAGCTTCCCTCGTATCCCGCGATTGCCGGAAGTTTTCTGGGCACACCGCGCAGTCGCAGCCGGAGTGCCCAGTTCGTGGCCAATGTGGCCGGCAGAGGTCAAAGTAATTGGCCACGTTTGGAGACGGGCAACTCCACCGAAAAGCCGGCAGGCGGTGGAACCACCGAAGGTGGTGGTGGATCAAGTGCAAGTGGAGGAGGAAGCGGTGGTGGATCAGGAACAGGAGGCGGTGGCCGGGGAGATCCTTCGCCGCTGAACTCCTTTGTCTACCATCGCGTAGTAGATGGCATTGGATTGGGCGGAGCAAGTGGTTCAGCCATTTCGGGCTTCGCCGGCAGCAGTAGAGGCAAACAGTCGCGATTGCCATTCGTGGCCATCACGGATCGCCGGCTGGAGAAGTCGATGGCGGAGCGACACAAAGACTTTGAGCAGAATCACTTTCCGATGCCTTAAGCCGCGAATTTGTGCAGCAGTGGAAAAGCTGGAGAAGCTAAGTGAACAGAGGGATGAATGGTAAAAGAGAAATTTACGATGAGTTGTTAACCACGACTGGAAAAGGAAATTTCATGGAATATTAAAAAAAATCACCAAAATCAAGCACAGCAAAGTGAAACCATAAACAATGTCGCAGAGCTTCTAAAAAATATAGAATTATCAAAAATTAACATATTTTCCCCTCATTTTAATACTTTGTTTTTGAAGTGCTAGTTATTGTATATTTAAATTAGGAATTGTTTCCAAATTAATCCTATGATTTTCAAATTGCGCTGACAACTTCGGACTGATATTGCATATTATTTTGAATTCAAGATTATTTTTTATTCATATAAAAACCAGTTTGGGAACTTCAAAAAGCTAATAGTATCCAAATCTCTTTCCAAACATTTGCGAGCCACTTAAAACCGATGCCAGCCAGTTTCCAAGGGTTTTGACCCCCATTTAGGAAACACGATTGTAGAATTCCAATTTTCCCTTTCCAGCCAAGTTACCAACTCAACATCTAAACATAATTCTAGTACTATATTATAGTCGCCGCTTTCGGATGTTTTATTTTTGGTGTTTTATGTTTTACAAGAAAAGAAAAAAAAGCGAGTCAAAGGATATAGAGATAATTGTCGAAAACGATTTTTTTGTGTGGTGGATATATAAAAAGATTAACGATAAACGTTAGAAAAAATAAACGATAAAATTAAATGGAAAACCGAAAAAAACGAACAAAAATTGAAATGTAAAATTAAAGTTAAGCTAAAACCATTTTTTTGTGTATAAATAGCGAATAACACCTGTAGACACACACATACACACATATATACGAAAACAAACACACAGACACTCAAAGAGCTGTTAGAAATCAAAAAGTGATAACCGAAAAGAAAAATATTCTAATAATTTCCCTTTGTTTCGATTGGAGCCTTTAGTTTTAGAAAGCATTGCTTTTGGGTGTAGAGTAGCTGAAATTAGAAGAAATTGTTAGAAAAGCGCCTCTCCACACACACACACACACAAACATACACTGAATGCTTTCCTTTAGCCCCTTGCACGCAAAATCCATCGAAATAGGTTTCAAAATTAAAAGAAAATACATATATGAAAACACAATAAAGGAAAAACAAATTGAGCTGCAGACCACGGCAAAATGTTGCACGAAACTTAACAAATATTCAATTAGCCAGAACAAAACACGGTCAACAAGTTTTAGTGGTCAAAAGAAAAAAGCAGACGATCCGAATTCGAAAATAAAACAACATATCAAGGAAAAGAACATACAATTATAGATTTTAAAGAGTTTGCTTCGGACAGGAGGTAAAAGAAAACAATTTAATTTAGTTATGTTTACTTTGAGTAACTTTTTTAAAATAAAAAATGCAATATACTATCGAAAAATTAAATTTATTTATTCAATGTACTACACAAAACATTTCTCTTTAAGGTAATATTTAATTAAGGTATGAAACAATTTTTTTAAATGTCCTTATTTAAAATATTTGAAAAGTCTGAAGCAAAGCTAATAATCAGATTCGAAAAAAAAAGAAATAAAAGTGCAAAAACAGAAAATGTGAACCTCTGAGAAATTCCCCCAAAAATAAGTCGAAAACTTAAGAAATGAAAAATACTTTGTGTTGGAAAATGAAAGAAAAGAGAGGCAGAACGAAAAGAAAAATGCAATCCCAAAGCTTTAGCCGAATTACGAGTTTAAACAGAACACACGCACACTGACACAAAGTATGCGAGCGGAAATAAAAATTTCATAAGCAAGGCGGATAAAGGAGAGGGCAATGGCGGAGTCGAGGAGAAAGGGGAGAGAGTGCAGTGCGGTGTAATTAACATATCAAAAGCGAAACGTAGAGAGAGCAAAAAAAAAAAAAAAACTGGCAAACGCGCCAAGCAATTAAAACTAAGCGCAGTGGCAAATATATTTCTCAAACTGGATTCATAAAAAGTAATTTCATTTGACACAGAGCTTCTTTGTGGCTCAACTTGAAAATTTAAACTTTAAACTTTAAAACCTTTAAGTTTAAGGTAAGGTTAATCCTCGATTTCGATTATACGGATTCGCAGAAATGTTCGCTGTTTGTTTGTTGTACGATTTAATTGGAATTTGAGTTGAACTAAAAACAGGCAAAAAGGTTGGCAAAAGCGGGATAATGGAAAAACCTTCAAAGGTATCAGCGTATCAAAAAGGCGACACACAAAAAACACACCAACATATACATGCATACACATCTCATTATGTGGTAACATTTTAATGGAATGAAATTTAATAAAGCAACAATTTATTATTTACGCATAATCATGGACTTGTTCTTGTTTTTGTTCTTGGCATGGGAAACTCACAACAGGCAACTAAATGAAAATAAAGTATTCAGCAATTAACGCGCTTTTCCTTTAGTAATGGGTGGAAAACCTCCTCTTAAGGTTGTTATCTGAACTTGTAAGTATTATTAGCAGGGGGAATGAAAGTGTGATGAGAACTATCAAGTGGTCGTGTGGTTTAAACCAATTACTTATTAAAATTGCTGGAAATTCTACAAGATTGTAGGTGGCAGAACCACTTTAATTTGGCCTTGAGTAAACTATAGTTCTCAACCGACTTTAGTTTGCTTTATTTGCTTTTAAGCTTGGGTTCTCAACGGAATGCCATATCATATAGGTAAATTTACCATTAAAACGATCATTTATCAATCGCAACGGGCGTGCATTTAATTACTTAAACGCTTATCGAACAACATCCACGCACAAATCACCGGCAAACTGAAGCAGAAAGCCCCGACGAGAAAGAGATGGGTACAATCAAGTAGAAAGAGATGGGTATACTCGAGAAGAAAGAGACGGCTGATGCAGTGATGCATTTGTCGCTTCAGTTTTTCAATTACGTCAACGTTTTATTTCACCTGTTTTTCGTTTGTTTCGTTTTTTCGCACTCACGTGCCAGGGGTGAGAATCTGTCGGCTGATTTGCATAAAATGTTGCCGCACTCCATTGCTCTTTATTTTTGTATGTGTGTGTGAGTGTGTTGTTTTTCGTTTTTTTTTTTTTTTAGTACCCTTTACGTCGCTGCACATTTGCCAAATAATTCCAATTCAATTTGCGAATCTCTCTTTCAACTTTCAAGGCAGCTTCAGTTTCCACAAGTTTCCGCCCGGAATAAAGTTGAAATAAATGCTGTATACGGCAGCGATTCGGAGAGAGTTTCAGGCCGGGCTGGCACTTCCTTTTCCCCCGGCGGCTACAGGGTATCTTGGCGAGAATTTGAATAGACACGTAGCCGGGGACCAGACAGCCAAATGGAGACATTGCAGCAGAGGGAGTGGAGCTGCCGAAACCGCCAACTCTCAGAAAAGTCGCGTTGCAACATAGCGTTTCACTGAGAGAAAAATTAATAACAACTTGATGATAAGATACAAAAAAAAAAAACAGCAGAATAATTTAAACAATAATTTAAATTTAAAGAACACTATCTGCTGGGAAACCTCACAAAATGAATATTATTAATTAATAGTATTTGAATTTTAAAAAGGGTTATCAAACTAGTTTTTCAAGTGCATCAATGTCGCGAAAGGAGCTGGCTCAAGTTGAAGGCAAACTGCTTGCGGCGTTCTTTTGGAAGCGCTGGTTGAAAAGGGCAAGAAGGAACAGGTCGAGCGGCAGAGGTAGCGACATTTTGCCAGTCGTGCCAAGTGCAGCAGCCTTTCTTGTAACCTACGTGTGTGACCCCGTCTGTCCGCCAGTTTGTCCGTCCGTTTGTCCTTGTCGCTGCTTCAGTTTAACTCGTTCTATGTCTGCGTATGTTTATGTTGCACTGCAAGAAATTTTAAAATACGAAGGAACAAAAGTTCCAACAAAACAAAATAACAGACACAAATCAAAGTACACATTTAAAAATTTAAACCCATAACTTTTCTAATTTTTATCCGATTTACAAGTGGCATATCTCTCTGAATTGGTTATTAAAATATCTATCAAGACGCATCATTAGTTTATATTCGATTTTTTGGTCCATGTTTTCTCATTTTAGAGGGAGGCACTTCACTTAAAATAAATAATACTATAAATTACAAAAATTGTATGCAACTCCCCTCAACATAAAAGAAGTGACATTTTTTTCCTGTGCATTCCTGGTAGTTTTGGCACATCTATAGTTTTCCTCAGATTTCGTTAGCTGTTATTTTTTGCTTGCATTTTCCCCATGTGCGACAAAGTCGCATACAAAACGAAGATTGAGAACATCACGTAAACAGATTTTTGTTGTCTCAGCAACCACTTGAATTTCCCCGCATTTCCCCGCACCTTTCCGCATTTTGTTTTCCACAGTCAGGCATTTTCAATAATTAAACATTTCCGTGCGAAATGGCCGCGAGAAGTTCCCAGTACTGTAAAATCGAGCACCGCGCTTTTCACCGTTTCATTTTCCCCAAAAAGTTTTCAAATGCTATTGTTGTTGTTGTCGCTAAACCCCCAAAGGTTCAGTGTCTTGCAATCATAATTATTGTAATTATAAAAACAATAATTAAAGCACATAAGTACTATGATGTCGGTATTTTCGGTGTCGAGCGAAGGGAAAAAGGAAAATATTTAATTGAAATTTTAATAGAACCTTAAGCCGGGCACGTAGGCAAAAATGGGGATAACTGCCGTTGCCTTTGTTTGTTTTCCTTTGCCTTTCCTTTTCCTTTGTTTTTCCGTTCATTTTTTTTTTTTTTTTTTTTTTTTTTTTCTTTCTGGCCCTGTTCCTTTGGCTTCTCTTTTGGGGCCGGTGAGCAGAGTCTGAATTTTTGACAAGTTAATTAGGTTGTTTGTTGGTCCGTTCTTTCGCCCCTCACTTTTCGTGATTTTACTCCGGATTTCCCTATTTTCGAGGTATATTTTAATGTACTTGTGATAAAGTCCTTTTAATTGCTGGCAGACAACACCTTATTTTAGCTCAGACCCTCAGCTTACCTCAAACTCATCGCTTACCGGACTCGACTGTCCTCTGGTCAGCACTCACACACTAACGCTGTCACCCACACAAACACACGCACAACAACATTCACACGTACACAGCCGGGAGGCAGACAGTCAAGTTGTCAAAGTGGCAACAAAATTAAGCATACGCCATGTGGCCCTGCCGGAAGCCTCGCAAGAGAAATAGTTGGGCAAAAAAGGAAAATGAGCAGTCTGGCAGTGTGGTAAATACACAAACATAACTGGAAGTGGAAGTGGGATTTTCACCAAAGAAAAATGGTTTACAAATGGAAATCCATCACACTGAAGCACACATTTGGCACAAATTTGTGTTAATAATTTAGGCAGGTAAAAGAAGGAAAATTAAATATTAAACTTTACGCCTGGCACGTTTTACTATATTTGTAAAATATTGTACTTGTTAATTAATTTTATAATAAATAACTTTATTTGTAGTTAGATATTTTAGGGTTACTTTTTCACCAAAAGCATCCCACAGAGACTAATTGAATTAAAATGTTTTAGGGCACTTATGCTATTAAAGTTTCCATGTTAATGAACCGCAACACTTCCGATTTTCATATTCAAAATTAAATTCCCGTCATTGTCAGACAGTTTTCCGTCCTGCCAGGATATTCGCCCATCTGTTACAATGTCCCCCAAACCTTTTCTCTCCGTTGCGGTTTCAATTCTCTTTTACCAGTGACGTCCATGTGGTCCTCCCGGCAGCTTTGCCTCAAAAGGAAGGCAACAGACTGTCACGCTGTAGGAGAAGGACCTCAAACAAGACTTTTGTGGCGCTTTTTGGGAAGCAATGTAAAACCGGCAAGACTGACTTCACTGCATTTGATTTCTTTTTAATTTGCCGGGCGTCTTTTTTGGCGATATCTGCCCCCCAGAGCTTTATGTTTTCGTTATTTAGGAGCCAGACAACATTTGCATAACGCTTTGATAATTAAATGTAATTGCTTTACAGCCGGCAGGCTGGGAGATTCAAGTATCTGATTCACTTTCGGTTTGCCTTTTCGGGGAATTAATGTTCGGTACTTAAAGCAATGCCATGTTGATTTGTCAACATTCTTATCGTTTAAGATAGATACTCCATAGTACTCAGCCCCATCAAAATTAGTGCTATTTTTATGGCACATAATTACATTTGATGCTCAGTTGATGACTGCGGTTTTCGAGAGAGTTGCACGCACTCTAAACTAATTCAAAAACCAACGACATTTTCCACGCTTACATTTTTAATGACACAGCCAACGCTGCGTATACGCAATGGAATTTCAATTAAAATGTTTTTACTTGCTGAAAAGTTGCTCGGAGGGTTTAGCAGTTAATCCATTTTGATATCCGCAATCCGCTTGCTAATTAATCAACTTAAATCTATGGCTAACTAGAACTAGAGTTGGAGTCCCGCTTTTTAACCCTCCCAAGGGATTCGCTCTTTTATCGCCCTTTTGCCCCAAAGGGGAAGGCTAATTTATTAATATGTCAGGGTATAAAGAGATTGAAAGCTCTCCAGCTGAAAAAAAAAAAACTAGCTATTGAGAGAGGAGGACTGAATAAAATTGCAAGCGGAAATCTGTGCAGAAATTAAAAGAGATTTAAAGTAAATTGCAGTGGTTTAAAATAATTTGCAACTCACAATTTATTCAGGAAAATTTAACATCGCTTAAAATGCGGTTTGCAATTGTGCAATTAAAAAGTTAAGAATAAAGTCTACAGAAAATGGATTTTGATTAAAATTAGAATAAAGAAGATAAAATAGCAGGAGGTACTTAAAGAGATGAATAAAAAAACTTTATAAAACTCCGATAAAAACTGAAACCGAAGCGTGGCAGTAAGTTCGACATTTATTTAACACGTTGCGTCAACTGGTTAACATTTTTTCTGACTCCTTCCCATTTTCCATTCTACATCAGGCTAACAAACAAGTTCCGTTCGACATCGAGTAGGGGGATTTCTCATAAAGCGAATTCAAAGCGAAAAAGAGTTGAAGCCGAAACGAGGGCAGGTGGGGAGATTCGCTGGAAAAACTGGGGGGAAAGTAAGCAAGGAAAATCGGGAGGAGTGTAAGTAGAGTGAAGCGATGCTGCGGCAGCCAAAGGCAAACCGAGTTCTCGTCAGCGCTTTTCCCAACTTTTCGCCAGGGGAGCAAACACAAAAAGGCGGAAGAGAATGGCAGGGAAAAGTATGGAAAATCGAGGGGGAAGGCTGGCGAAAAGGGGGCAACTTTGCCAATTTTTCACGCCTTTACCAATGTAAATGACAGATTTTTATGCACGTTTTATGCTCTCGATGCGTACACGATTTCATTTTCAACACTTTTCGCATCACTGCCTT